ATCAAAAGAGATGCGTAATCCAGTTATTAATAAACTAACCTCACATTTTACTGACTCACCAAAGTTAGATAAAAATTATAGTATTGATACTGAAGGTGAGCATCAAACTGATTCCTATTGGGTTCTCGGTCCACATTGTCCACTATGTAGAGAAAATCATATGAGTTTAGATGATAAGTGGTGGCTAGATAGTCGAAGTAAAAATACATAATATTTACATTGCACTAATTTAAAAGAGCCAGGAATTCCATACGATGATGTACTAAAAGCATATTCTGGTAATTCGGAACTGATTCAAGAGTTAAAAACTCGATGCTTCACATCACCTATCCCTTGGAATCATGTCCTTATTTTACCAGATAAAGGTATAGTAGCGGAAGCATAGTCACTGTATGACCTTGTCTATGACAAGAAATCATGATTAAATGATAATATATATATTATTATTACGTATTTATCATATCAATAAAGAGTTAGATTGTCAGTCCACATTGCTAAGATTCTAACGCGTCTCAACCGCGACTCAACTGAGGTATGACTTTTTTTCATATAATTATATAAGAAAAATTCAACCGCGACTCAACTACAACTCAACTGAAGCATTTTGGACTGAGCGATCTTAAATGAAAATAATAATCATTATAGTACATCAAATATATAAGTGGTATGATTAGTATAAACCAAGGGCCGATCGATCTACTGGTAATCATTTACGATTTACAAATAAGTAGCTAAGCTTAATTTAATCAAAATTCGAAATTACACTTTTGGGAGTTATTTCGCATTTATATGGAAAGACTAATTTATACGAATGGCCAGGTGGTGTGAATTGGTGGGGGAGATAAAGTCAGTTAGAAGCATGACGTGCTATGAATGGTCTTTATTTCATAAAAATCATATTAAAATAAAAAATGGCAGGAGCACGAAACCCTCTCTTTATTTCATAAAAATTATTGCTGGAACGACAATATACAAATAAAAAAAAATAATCACTATTATAGGTGCGAATACAAATAAAAAAAAATTACTATTTAATAAAAATATAAATTAAAAAAAAATTAATTTCTTGGAGGGTCTACATAAATATGAAGGCCATTTTCATCAGGGCTATCAGCGAAGTCTTTAGAAATTTTAATCATTGGTTTAAAAATAATACCATTGGGAGATGAACGTAGAATGATTTGAGTAGAAGGAATAGAATCAAATAAAAGTGCCAAGCATTTTTTTACCATATGTTTGAGCAATTCATACTTTTTATCTTCAGAAATTTCAATTGTAAAAACTTCATCTTCGGAGTATTTTCCTTTATCATTAACGAGAACACAGTTAAAGTTAATAATTGCCATTTTGGGGGGACTGCAAAAAATAAAAACCCATAGTTAATAGAAAGTAACAAAATAAAATCTCTTGTATAAACAATATATGATAACCGGACCTTGGAAGTAAATTGCGAATATGTAAAATTTTTTCAAAGACAACACGGCAAAATATATATATAAGAGCAGCGTTATTGCTACCTAACTAATCTTATGGGCGGGAACTTGCTTATTTTATACCGTTCATTCGCTAGATTTAAAAAACAGACTAACAGAAAAAAATATATGATTAGTAATTATGTTACTCTAACACAATCTAGATCCTGCTACATAAAGCAACTCCGCTCGGTCATAAGTTCCAAACACTGAGCCTATTTTGTTATTTTTTTTGGTAAAATTAACCCCCTTAGATTCAACGATCGCTTAAGGTGGGTTTAGATCTGACGATCTCGGAGATGGCAGAGTTCCTGCAACATATGAATTTGGACCAAACTACTGATAAAGAATGTTATACTCATTACCCTTATAGCCTTTTTAAGTTCTATTCGTGCTTTTTCTTATCGTAGAATCGTATATAATAGGAAAAGCCTTTCCAGAAATTCATAATATTCGTTATAAATCAAAAATTTACTGTGAGAAATGATTCTGCAGGAAAGTGACACAAACCGTATACTTAATTTCGTACGACTTATAATACCGTTTACTTTAATTGTATCTTATACAGTAATGTTAATAAATTTTTTTTTTACGTACGTACAATGATTCTTACGTATTAAAAGTCATCAACTACTGTTAAGCCACTGTCTCCTGAAAGAAGGATGCTTCGCATCTGAAGTGCTATTGAAGTGCTGTTGGAATACGTAGGCGAAATATCAAATGTTTATTGTGTTTATTGAGTTTCGAATATTCAGTAATATTCAGTCTAAAAAATCGTGATCGAATTTTTGTGTATAAATCATATGTTAATCGAACTTCCAATATCGAATACGTAGAATATCGAAAATTTGAAAAAATTATTGCAGATGTACAAATATTTATCGTTATGGCTTGTTAAATAAACTGCCCCTCGAAAACAAACATAACTTTGTCTAAAAAAGATAGCTATTATCATTATGCGGTAGGAAAAATTGAATCGGGTTATTTCTAATTTTACTATAATATGTCGTTGATTACTAACGCTAACGCTAATCTAATTAATCTAACTATTTCTGTATAAGGCTCTTAATTTTTATTCTTTTTCTAGTAACTTTTCACACAGGACAAAGGTTATTT